TTGGAGCAATTCTCATTTCTACATTATACATTTTATATGCCCTATATTGACCAAAGCTGCATGAATGGCATATCTAAGGATGTCAACTACTGGACTTGCTTTAAATTCTGGATCTAACCTGCATTTTTCAGATGAGTGACCAGGCCCTGGGATCATTAAAAATCTTAAGCTTAAGTCAAAAAAAAATATTATATTCTGCTGAAATTATGTAGAAACCAAGCAGTCCAAAATTAAAATCCTTTTTAACTTTGCGTCAATAGACTAGTGTTGTATGCACATTAAGAGTTTCAGTTCACAAGTATAAACATTTTATAGATGGTTGAATTTTTTTGTCTTACTTAAAGACAACATTCGTTGAGGTGAGCTTTGTAATCTATGATTACCTATGTTTAAACATCTACATGTATCACGTACCAACTCGTATTTAGTAAATATTTTTGACCATCGCATGCAAATGCTAGTTCTGAAGTGGAAAAAGTTATGAATTAATCACTTTGTTATTGTAATTTTTTAATTAGATATGAACTATTAGACAAAGAATACTGGTATCTCTCTGATTTATATGTCTTCAAAATAAATAACTTGACATCAGAATTTTCGTTCCGTTTTCCATTCCGCGTTTTAGCAACACTCTCTGAGGTGGGATCAGGTGCCATGGAGGAGTGAGCATTAATTCTTTGAAAATTTTCTCCTCTGTTCCTAGATATTTAGCCGATGAACTAAGAACAAGATTATAATGAGCAAGGGTGCCTCTTCCAAAATTGTGAATTTCATAGCCCCTATATAATCATTAGAGCGCGCCCTAACGATGATCATGATGATAATGATTATACATGTATAGTGAAAATGGAATAATTCTTTGAAAATATTCTCCTCTGCTCCTGGGTTTTTAGCCGATGATCTAAGTACTTAGTTATGATGAGCAAGGGTGCCTCTTCCAAAAATTGTTAAGTTTTATGGACCCTGGGTCAGGGGTTCTCGTGTTAGGGCAGGGCGGGGGGGGGGGTTAGCAAAAATGTACAATAACTCTCTTGACTTTACATTTATTAGTTGACAGAATTTTATTTGAAAAGTGCACGTGCAAATAAAGCATTACTCAAAAAAATTATCAGAGGAAAACAACACTTATCAAAAACATACTTTTTATAAATCGTTTAGGAAGAGAAAAAGTAACGCCGGTGTACTTAGTTTACATCCGAAGTTCTTCTTGCAATTGCATCAGGAAGGTATTCCGTCGTCTTTTCCTCATTCCGAGGTTTATTTAACACACGAAACACACCCCGTGTTAACTCAGTGCTTTCACACTAAATCAACAGTTCTACGAATATCAATGAAAATAAACGTGAATAATTTGTAGTGTTTAACAGATAAGAAATAAACGAATAGACTTTTTTCCTCATCAAAGAGGTTTATTATGCACTCATAACAAATATGTATTACCAAAGCACGTTGCTAAAATATAGTATAATAAAAAAAAACCCAGAAATTAATGACTTGTACAACGTTTTTGACTATTCGTACTAAGATCCTAAAAATATGTGTATTAAGTCTGTTGATAGACTTATAGCTCTAAAAATGTCAAACAAATATATTCAATAACAAAACTGTCGGAGGGAAAAGTGGAAAAATGATTTTTTTTTTAGAAGAAAATTCTGATAGCATACAATGGTCACGTTACTGCAACTTTTCTCAAATCATTTGTTCCTTGCCTGGCTTCAATGACAAACTTTGAAAAAATAAAATATCGGATGCACAACTAGGATTTGTGATTTTTATTTCTCTTAAGTTTCATAAAGATTTTGAGAGCCCCAGCCCAGATTGTCCCAGCAACCTCTGAGAACATATGTGAGCATAATACATTTTTTTCTGTTTTCTATGGTAACTGTGTGCGGCCAATTCCAGTTTTTTCTAATAGAAATCACTTTGACACAATGCAAGGAATTATATCCTTGGAAGTTTCAAAATGATTGCTTGAGCAGTTGCTGAGAAAATCGAAGTTTAAGAATTTTCATTTTCCACTGTTTCTATGGCAACGATTTGCAATTCAAAAATTTTAAATGTGAATCGCATCACTAAAATTACTGATAATCATTTCTGTAAAATTACATGATGAATGTTCAAGGGACTAGGAGAACAGTCCAAGACAAAATTCCTCACTTTTCGTACGTTTCCATGGACACGGGAGCCATTTTGAAACTGAAAGTCTTCACTGCACAAGTGGAACTAGTGATCGTCTTTTGTGGAAAGTTTCAGCAAGATTGTCCCAGCCATTCCCGGACAAAGTTCGGGGCGACATAATAATAATACGATACAGAGTAAAAACAATATGCTCCTAAACTTCGTTTGGGGAACATTATAATATTGCAATTGATTCTAACGATAAACAACAAATGTAACGTATACATCAAAGGTTATTTTCCGAGTATGCTTTACTTGCATTTGGGCAATGTTTTAATGAGCTACGAAATATTCTTGTCTCATGCAACCACGGCCAGAATAGGAGAGGATCGTACGATGCATCCCTGTAAGAGTTGGGAAAACCAAGTACGATTCCAAGAAAGGGTATTTTTACCAGATTTTTAAAAGCAATATGGTTGCAATTTTGAGAATTTTATTTTGCTTTTAAAATGTATTATTATGAAACATAAATATCTGTATGTTAGTTAAACCTTTAAGATCAATTAGATTAAAATAATGTATTAAACATTTATATCAGAAGATTTCTTTATAATCGAATATATAAAACAAATCAATATTGTTCAGGACTACAATTATGTTACTTTGCTTCTGTAAAAGCTTATAAATAGTTCTTCCATCGCAAATATGAACAACAGAGGCCAGTAAATGTTCTTTTTCTGTCAATGAAATAGTTTATTTCAAATTTGCAACATCAAATTTCCGACATCAAAGTTGCAGCTCATATTGCTTGAAATTCTTGGGCAACAAAGCAACAAAGCTTCATCTATCACTTAATTTTGTTTTATATTTTTAAGGATCCTTTACAGTGTTGTATTATGCTCAGGTGACGGTCAAGGTCCTTGGGCCTCTTGTTGAACATATTGTTTTTTCATACATATGTATGAATGTGTATGATATGTACATATGTAGAATGCTATGTTACAACGCAAAATGTAATAAAAACGCAAAATGTAATAAACTGGGTTTATTACATTTTGCGTTTTTATTACATTTTGCGTCGAGATCAACGCCGAATGTAGGAACGCAAAAGACAATAACACGATTTTTAAATTATTACATTTTGCGTTGGGATGAACGCTATATGTAATTATGCACTTTTTGGTTGTTACATTTTGCGTTAATTTTTGCGTTTTTATTACATTTTGCTTCGAGATCAACGCCGAATGTAGGAACGCAAAAAACAATAACACGATTTGTGAATTATTACATTTTGCGTTGGGATGAACTCAATATGTAATAATGCACTTTTTGGTTGTTACATTTTGCGTTAATTTTTGCGTTGAGGACAACGCAAAATGTAATAAAAGAAAATGTAATAAACCAAAATATAATTATTTTTTGTATTGTGTTCAACGCAAAACATGCACAAAATTGATTTAAACATATAACAATGTAATCGCTTTACTAAATAGACAGATAGACCTATGACTATGAGACAAAGGTTACGGCTTTAACGGACATTACTAAATCTAATTGTATATTTTTTAAACTCTGTTTAATTGAATACTTATAAAACATTAATTTTAACTTTGATTGACATTAGTCTGTATTATATATCCATCACTGACATTCTTAATTACCAAAGATTGACTATGGGTCTATTAAAAGCTCTTGATATGTATGTACGACGTGCATGTGTTCATTGGTAAGCAAATTAGAAGTACATATGTGTGTCTGGCGAGGAGAAGCGGGGGGTAGGGGCTACTTCGTGTGTTGATCATGTTGTATTTTTATGGGCATGCAGAAACTATCTATTTTATTATTGAAGAGAGAGAGAGAGAGAATTTTATTTTAGCTGGTCTGGATGCACATGATTTGTGAAACAAAATGAAATCTTAATTGTCAAGAAACTCCTTTTTCGCTATATTTACACCTGCCAGTAAAAATAGAGATTTCTTTACTAAATTTAATGCATGTGCTTATCAGAAAGCAAATGCAAACTCAACTGATACACTGATCAACGAAATAAACCCCCCCCCCTTCACACACACAAACACACTCATGCGCACGCTTGTTACTAATTTTCAAACCTATGATTTGATATCAACCGATTTTAAATGGCTAATGAAATCAATATATGATGAAATCAGATCTAATGTAAGAATTAGCATATGTTTATTTTTCACTCATTGCACGCGCCCGAATATGCATGCATGTGCGCGAAAAAAGACCTTGGTTCTGCAAATATACATGTACATAACATGCGTATTGACCCTAAAAAGATTAGATGAGTCTTTTCCAAGATCACTCACGGACAACAAAGTACCCAGGAAGAAGAAAAGTAATAAGAAATACTGTAAAAACAATATGTTCCCAAACTTCGTTTGGGTAACATAAATATACATGGGATACTGCTAATTGATGATGAATGTATGTGAAATGTATGTGTGTATTTTGGAACTGATGATTGAGAATCTTTGTTAGGTTTTAGGCCAGCTATGATCTTGAAATGAAATATGGAGATAACGAACAGTATTCAAGCTCAAAAGTCCATTCAATCAGTACTTTTCAGAAGCAGAGCAAACACGGACCTCTAAAATATCGGAAATTGAGGTTTACAATTTGTAGCTCTCTTCCAGCGTGTGGTAACATCTCAATATGAGTGAAAAGAAAAGAATGATGAACACTGCTAATAATACTTTAGATTTTCTTGACACTAGGGCTGTTATTGAGATCATATATGATGGCTTCGAGTGACTAAGTTTGCCCCCCCCCCCCCGTTAATTAAAATGAAGTAAAACAATTTACATCTAGTTAAGTATAGTAAACAGTATGAAATTAATTTTGTTCCTCTTGAATAGGTCAATATGAGCAAAACCTTTGCAAGGCAACCGATACCTCTTGTCAGATGTGTTCCAATCGCTTGCCTAACTGTATAGGTCACATTGATGGAGATCATGAGTTCCCAGGCAAACTGTGGCAGAGAGATTACATTATTTGTTACAAGAACAGGACCATCAGTATCACATCTTGTGAAAAAGGCTCATACTTCAATCCAAGAACAAAAAAATGTCGGACAGCTGTAGAGAAAGGTTAGTGTGATCCATACTTACATGAATCAAACAGCAACGCATACACTTCATTTTGGTACAAGATTTACAGTAAAGGCACGTATATATTACACACTGTTTTAAAGTATTTCAGCCCCGAATGATGAGAGAGGGATCCTGAGAAAAAAATGCAGCTTATAAAAACTACATTTACGAGGGGTTATCAAAAAAAGTTCGTGGACTGATGCGATAAAATTAATACTATGTAGTCTGTGCTTACAAAATTTATGAAAAACATGAATCAACAAATGTTTAAAAAATGTTGAAAATTTTAACTTGATACGTTGATAATTTGCTAAATTATTCTAAAATAAAAAAGACATCATATGATCACCCGGCGCTGTCGCCGTTTAGTTTCTTGACGTCCGACAACGACATTGTTTCTCAATGTCTACTCCGTCTACCTTATACACTTATCTTGATGTGATTACCTGGAGTTAAGTAAGGACTTATTGTTTATGTTACTTTACAATGTCATGAACAGCTGCTTTCAATGCATATAATATTGTAAATGTATCTATACATAAGGAAAGATCCGCACTTGATTATACAAGGGGCTCGTTTCTCAAAAAAGTCGTAGATTTGGGCCTAAATTTGTCCGACTAAGTTAGTTACGCCAAAATTTAGACGGGCCTAAATCGCGTTTCAGAAAGCGGCGTAAGACTAGGCCTAAGACTAAGACCTTTCCGTTAAGTACTAAGCATGCGCAGATCGTATTTTCTTTGGTTTAGAGACTACAATTACATGTGGCGGATCAAAGTAATATCAAGCTTAAACCTAAATAAAGAAATAAGGCACTGGAAGCATGAGCACGCGTGCATGTTTTCGCTCTTCAACATCTTTCAATCAGATATATTACGCAAACCTATCAGTATTTACAAGGTCAAAACATTAAAATTAAATAAATATCTTTGTATGCTCAGATAAATTTCAAAAAATCTATATAGGTACAAATTACAATAGTAAAACATAAACGTGCATGTACTCGATTGTGATATTTCGATAAACAATCGTACATTAAAACCCAAACGATGTACATAGCACATGTACTTGCAAAAAAATTGGAATTCTATAAGCATGAAGAATTTTACTGAAGTAATTTTCCTTTGAAATAAGCCATATTGTCTTTTCAGTTATGTTTACATTAGAATAAATATAGTGGGAAAGGCCTAGAACAGGTTCGTAGCAACGGTTTCAAAAGTGAGGGGAGAACCCCCTCCCCAAAAAATCTGACAAGCCCACCAAATATCCTAAACTTCCAAAAGGTGGGGGTTGGGGGGTAGGGGGATCTCCCAAATTAATGTGACAAAAAAACTTCATTAACTGTCCAAGTCAAAAAACCTAATTAATTAATTAAAAACAAGCACCTGTTTAAAAAAAAATAGACCCATCTGCACATCTTAAACGCCATGACAGTTCATACTTTGAAATAGGGAAAAAAACAGTATTACGGACAAGATAATTAATTACTGGAACATTTTACAAATTCATATTTTTCTGTTCTATAATTTTATATTTATTTAATGGGGAAATTAAGGTAAAAGGTGCATTAAGTTAATTGATGGCATAATTACCGAATATTTCTTATTATCGAAAATATATTAAATGTATATTGTTTGAGGATTTTTTTTTTTTTCAAAAACATTATCCATTTCAAAAATTAAAAATTAGTAGTGTGTGGGGGAGATGTGGAAGAGGGTAGGTAATTGATTAGCCAAAATATTCAGCAAACTTTGACAGTATGAGAAAACAAATACTGAAAGTGTAGGTCAGCCTAAATTACAACTTAATTTTTAACAGAAAACACCATTACTGAAAAACTGGGAGGGTTGAAGCCCCCACCCCTAAACTACGCGTGCCTGCTTTTTTTTTGTTTAAACTCGGGCACTTCTTAATATCTTACCCAGTTTCACAATTCAAAATTCTTACTTACAAATTTCCAGCTCATCAAACCTTTTTTACGGAAAAAAGTCTGCATCCTCGCTTGAAATTTAATTACTTCTATTTACCTACGTAATATTGAAAATTTCACATATTTTTCGCATATCATATATGTACATGAATAGGTATATTAGGTATTATATCGTATACGTGGAAAATAATTATTCTTTTATTTCTTTATGATCAAAACACTTGCCACTTTTTTCAAGTTGTGAACAGACTAAGAACTTACGCCTACTCATGAGCAGGCGTAGATTTAAGCTTAACTTTAGTCTCGACTAAGTCTGCGCATTTTTGTGAAACGCTGCTTAGTCTGATTATTGGGTTTAGTCACTGACTTAGTCCGGACTAAGCTTACGCCCGTCGTAGGCCTTTTTGAGAAACGATCCCCAGAATACTTAGCTTGATGGGGTTCAATTTCTACCACACATGATCAACGTCACTTTTCGACGTGACTGATTTTTGACACCCTCACTACAAATTGACTTTAACTGTGCATCTTTCATCTCTCTGAATCTTTCTGGCTATTTAAAACGAGTACTCTGGATGTGTTTTATTTTTCTGTAGCCCGTTTAAACATTCCCTAGGTCTATATCAATTATTACAGGTGCAAAACTTTAAAGAATGTTGAAAACAGAAACCCCTCCCTTTTTTGACGTCATTTTTGAACCCTTAATTGTTTGTACACTCCATATAAATTTACGGTAAAATTTCATAGAATTTACAGAATGAGGTAAAAATTGCAAATTATACGGAACAATTGTGTTGTACCACATGCCTGGATTAACCGGATTTTTTGACTACAAATGTTCATATCAAAAGAGTTTTTCTCAGTTACACTCAGGTAGAAAAAACGTCATATTTGAGGTTGTGCCGTTTGGACATCATACCATTGCTTACAAAAACAATAACAATTTATTAAAAAATAAAACTTATGATTTATGGTTTATTCTATCGATAGAAAAGATGATGCTAACTAAGTGTATCAAAATTCATTGATGTACCTGAAGCGGTTTTAATTTTATGGCGCTAGTCCACGAAGATTTTGAAAACCCTCGTACATATGAATAAATTATTTCATATTTTGATTGTTCTATAATTGTATATTCGGTAATTAAAGAGGTACCTTAAATTTTCTGAACAACTCCAAGTATGTTACAATATTGTGTTGCATGCTCTTTATGCATCCCCAGTGCATATTTTGTTTATGTAAAGAACTGATTCGAAGAGATGTTAAGAACTGATGTTAAGAACTGATTCGAAGAGATGTTACTCATATTAGTCACATTAGATGAAAGACCAGGCTAAAATTTCTGGAACAGGTTAAGTTTTAGGAGCAGGTTCCATTACTAAGAAATTATAAGACATGGTTACAAACTTCCATTAATGATGTATATAGGGATACACATTGACAGACTGGCTTCGGATGTTGGATCTGTTCATAAATTTTTGGATGAAAGTACAGACTAATTTTTAGCTCACCTGAGCCAAAGACTCAAGTGAGCTTTTCTGATCACATTTTGTCTGTAGTCCGTCTGTCCGTCTGCCTAGCTGTCCGTCCGTCTGTAAACTTTTCACATTTTCGACTTCTTCTCCAGAACCACTGGACCAATTTCAACCAATCTTGCCACAAAGTATCCTTTGGTAAAGGGGATTCAAGTCTGTTCAAATGAAGGGCCACGCCTTCTTCCAAGGGGAGATAATTATGAATTCGTGAAAAATTAATGGCATCATTAAAAAATCTTCTTCTCAAGAACCACTGTGCTTGAAAATATGAAACTAATGTGGAAGCATCCTCGGGTTGTGTAGCTTCAAGTTTGTTCAAATCATGACCCCCGGGGGAAGGGTGGGGCCACAATGGGCGATCAAAGTTTTACATAGGAATATAAAGGAAAAATCTTTAAAAACCTTCTTCTCAAGAACAGCAAAGCCATGATTGGTCATATTTATATGGTAGCATCCTCAGGTAGTGTAAATTCAAGTTTGTTCAAATCATGACCCCCGGGAGAAGGGTGGGGCCACAATGGGCGATCAAAGTTTTAACATAGGAATACATAGGAAAAATCTTTAAAAATCCTCTTCTCAAGAACAGCAAGGCCATGATTGGTCATATTTATATGGAAGCATCTTCAGGTAATGTATATTTAAGTTTTATTCAAATCATGACCCCCAGGGGTAGGATGGGGCCACAATGGCAATCAAAATTTTACATAGGAATATATAGGAAAAATCTTTAAAAATTTATTTCTCAAGAATAGCAAAGCCATGATTGGTCATATTTATAAAAAAGTATTCTGAGATAATGTAGATTCAAGTTTGTTCAAATCATGATCCCTGGGGGTAGGGTGGGGTTACAATGGGTGATCAAAGTTTTACATAGGAATACATAGGAAAAATCTTTAAAAATCTTCTCAAGAACAGCAAAGCAATGATTGGTCATATTTAAATGGAAGCAACCTCAGGTAATGTTGATTCAAATTTGTTCAATTCATGACCCCCCAGGAGAATAGAGGGGCCATAACAGGGGATCATAGTTATACAAAGGATATATCAAAAATTTCTTTTTAAGAACAGCAAAGCCATTATTTGTCACATTAATTCAAAAGCATCCCCATGAAGTATAGATTCAAGTTAGTTCAAATCAATCCCCCCTCCCCGAACCACTTTTATATTTAAACTTTTCAACCTTTCAAGACTGAACTGATTTCTGATTTTTCCTAGCCATAGTGCTCAAGTGAGCGATGTGGCCCATGGGCCTCTTGTTTTAGATTGTCTCAGATGCCAATCTTACCTACATTTTCCAGATGAATGAATGAACAGGTTGTGTTTTAAAGCTGGTTCATTCCCAAGTAATTATATACCCAATCTAACTAAACTTTCATTTTATATTTAGTTTTGCACACTACCAGTTATACTTTGGAAACTGCCTCCGACGTTCATTTGAAGGGTGATTGAACAGTTAATTTTTTTGAATTAGGTCCATTTTCAAGTATAGATCCTACCTGAACCAAACTTGTATAGATGATGCACACCACCAGAAT